AAAACTTGCAGCTGTGAATAAATTATAAACGTATTCTGATAAGAAATAGAAAATACATTAGATTTATAAATCAAAAAAACAGAATTCTAGAAGAACAAAACACAAACAAAAAGAGATAAAATTTGCAGCTGCGAATAAATTATAAACGTATTCCGATAAGAAATAAAAATTACATTAGATTTATAAATCATAATGCATTTTATTATTAACATTTTTAAATAATTTTGTGTAATTTCATAGGAAGCCATGAGAAAACAATATAATACGAAATATTATTATTACATTGCCACCCTTTTGGCTTCAGTCTCAAACACAACACAAAACACTTTGCAAAGTTTTGAATTAATTTGAATGATGGAAAATAAAATAATTAAATGTTAATAGGAAAGTCGATGAGAAAAAATCATTTATAATTCCTATAGGGCTGAAATATTTTTCAACAACCGATCTTTTTTGAATTCCAATGATTTTTTTATTGTTAAGTTTAACGAAAGTGCATGCGAAGAAGCAGATGAAACCAATGGGGAAATTAAGAATATAAAGCGACGAAGATGAAGAAATTATTGATTGAATTATTAGTGTTTACACACCAAATTATTTCACGAGTCGAATTAATGCTTCACTAAATAACTCACGGTTTATTCTCAGTAGGAACACAATTACACCCGGCACAGAATCTCTATGTTTCCTTAAGGAAAACCACGAATTTTCACCAATTTCCTGCACTTCCAATTGGACTCGAATTGTGAATTAACAAATGGACGCTACAATAATGCCAACCGCATTTATTTTTTCCACGAAAGATAAAGAAGAAATCGTTGCTACGGATATTGCCAAATTGAAAGCGATAAAACGACGCGACGCTTCTCAATTAATACATTCTTTTTTTTTTTTCCTTCAATTATAACCTCTTATTTGATTATTTCAGTGAAAATTATACTGAAAATTGCGATTAAGTAATCTTTGAATGACTCACCGTTAGATTCCAATTAGATCACATGGAAAACCACACACTACATTCAAATAGTTTCAGAAGTATTTTTGAATTTGAAGACGGGACTGCAGCACGCACCTGTTGATCGAACGATGACAACCGAATGAGAAATCTCTCCTCCTAGCTACGATAGTGTCGCTGCGGTGGTCGAAATGGGAACTAATGTCTTCAGATTTAAACAAAATAGGAGCGTGCATATTGGGTTGCCTACGAGTTAATTGCATGAGAGAGTATTGATAGAATTACATCTGCGAGAAAGGAACAAATTTTCTTTAATAAATTTTCAAGCTTTCCATTGTCTGTGCTTACTCTAAATATACATATTTGGTTCGTGTTCATTCAGTGCATGTGCAATAAGAACTTAAATAGAATTTGGTGTGGTCCTAACAGTAATACAAAAAAAGAAAACAACAACTTCTACAATTTACAAGGATGCCTCAAATAAATACAACAATTAACAATTTGAACTTAAATAATACCCGTAATACTATTATCATCGACGATTTCGTGAATCACTCAAAAAAAGTCCCTGAAGAGAAAGACCATGGCGTACACCCATTTGGGCGTGTCCCGTTTGAAATCACCCGGCAGACCGAGATCGTACAGCCTCTTGCATTCCCCGTGCAACTTCGTTCGAAGATCGGGATTCTCCGTGACCAAAGCCACCTGCGTTTCGAGATCCTTCAGCACTGATCTGCCACCAAAGTTGGGCGATCCGACGAGAGTGAGGCAAGGCAGATCGGCGCTGGGGCCGTAGTACCATAAACCCTTCGCATGGTACGTCCATCCATCTCGCACGTACTCTTTCAGCGAAATCCGATCTCCCTGTCCCATCGCCTCGAGCTTCCGCTGGAAACGCCGGGCGAACACCGTGTATCCGTCGGGGATGCCACCGGCCATCCCCTTCGCACCCAAGAATCCGTTAGCCTATAAAAAACAAGAGTCATCATCTGATTGCATAATTGTATAATTGCTTGCTACCTTCGGATGCGCCATCAGCAGATTGCATTGCGCTCGAGATTCCCCGATCAGCGTCTTCATGTAGTCGTGCGTGAGATTGAAGTAGGCAGTGGCGATGTTCATTTTGCTGTCTGCAGGTGCCTCGGCGAATATCCGATCCGTCGCGTTCGCGTCCTGCTCGATCCCCAGTTGCCCCATCTGCACCAGAGGAAACACCCAAGTGTCTGCAAATCATTAAGAACATTGTATGAAAAGAAAAGACGTGAAAGTGGTCGATTGCTTACCGTATCCGTCCTGCTTGTGACTGTTCTGCTCGTCCTTGCTGTCGTAGATGTAACTCTCCACCGAATCCCCGGCCCTCTGCACGAACTCCTCCTTGGGGCATTCGAAGGGCAGCTGCCAACCCTCGCTCATCCTCACCCCATCTCCTTTATCAACTACCAAACTGAAGCCTTGCACTTTCTCCACTAGACCACAATAGAAATCACACAAATACTTATTCTTAATCACAAAATACCTGTCCTGGCGATTCGTGAAGTAGTCTTGGCTCAGATTCGCGCCGCTCATGATCAACGTATCATCGAATATGTACAGCTTCATGTGCTGTATACCGAACAGCTCGTTCCATCTGTTCGGCGCGATCCTCTTATAGAATCCCCTCAGCTCGGGCGTATGATACAGAGACAATTTAAAATTGCTGTGCTGCAGCAGCGGCTGCAGCATTCGCCTCGAATTGTTCTTCGATCTGCTGCCGCGCGAATAGTCCAGCAGCACGTTGATGTTCAGATCACGAAAATTGCTGTTCGATAAAATACTTTCCACTAACTTCCTCTCCAGCTCACCGTTGCCCAGATACAGACTGGCCAGAGTGATGCGTTCCTTGGCCTCATTCCCATGCCTGCACAGCGTCTCATAAAACTCTTGAGGTTCACTCAGGATCTGTATATCGTTGGAGTTCACCGGGAAACAGGGTGCAACATTCATCAGCCATGCCAGCGGTTTCGTGTCAGCTTTGGTGAATGGACTCGGATACACCAGAGACTGTGGCTGCACCTGCAGCGTGCTCTCGATCACAGTGTTCAGGAATTTTCTAATCATCTTTTCTGCAATAAAAGTTTCTTGTTTTCATTTTCAAATTTACAGGTTAGGATTTCTACTTAGTTTTTGATCAATGTTTATGTAAAGTGCAGAGCTACATTGCATTCGCTTAGGTATTACAGGAAAAGGTGCTCACCTTGTCGCCGCTATTTCCTATGGGAATTTGGTAGTTTTCAACATCGTTTCATTACAAATTTAAAAGCTGTTACACAATTTTCTCACAGCATCCTGACATCTAACCTCACCAGAATTTTTTTTAAAACCATCTCCCCCCCCTGATAGGCAACCAAACGTGCGCGCACAACTACAATTTTTTTTATCACTCTCTGTCAAATTTAAAACAAATGAAAACTTAAGACGACTAGATTTACCTTACAATTGCATATGATTACAATTGGAAGAGGATTGAGGAAATATTTAATGAGGAAGTAGCAGTAGTAATAGTTGGAAGCTTGTGGCATTTTCGAGTGTATGGTTTATTGCTCCAACAAATAAATTTCCAAAAAATATATATATATAAAAAAAAATAATAATAATATATATAGAAAACAAAAAAAAAAACCTTTGGAATATTATATAGTACAAATATCAAATATACACGTGTAAAAGAAACAAAATAATAGTAATAATCAAATCGTCCCCTACTTTTTTTTTTAACTCTCTCTCTTTTCAATCAATCAATCAATAATATATATATATATATATACTCATATATAAACAGTGAAAAATCTACCTGAGTGACGTAGAAAAATACAAATTTTCTCCTTCCTCTAACATTGTTTTTCATTCTTTTGTTTTGTCTGTTCATCGACTTTCCAACATCACGTCTTGCGGTGACATCAGAACAAAATACACATTATAATAATAAGAATAACCGTCGTAACTAGCACAAATCTTTGGTAGTAAATAATAATAATAATAATAAGCACTAATCGTGCATTTGCGATGAACGTTTGCAAGTTTTTACCCTAAAAAAAAAACCTAAATAAACTGCATCAAACTGTATCCACCCCAAAATTATGACTAGCTTGAAAATATCACCTCCATCGAAGAAATACAACTGAACCGAATAACACTAAATACATATAGAAATGGAGAAAAGGAAACGATCAGAAACACACTTACTGTTTGCCTTCTCACTGCCGCCGCCGCCTCTTGTTTCGATGGGAGAATAATAATAATAATAATACGAACAATATTACTGGGGGTTTGCTTTCGAACACACGTACACTTGTTTGCTTAAATATAACGTTGATGTTACCGAGTGTAAATGTAAGCGCAGGTCTTATCGTGTGCAGGTGAGTTCCAATTAAACCGTTAACGAACGACGTTGCAGTAATACGGATAATGATGATAACTTATCTAGTTGGCTGGCTACTATCGAAATGCACTAAATAATAATATTAAGTATTATTATTGCATAACAAAAAAAAGTCGCGAGCGAATTGTTCCCCGAATAATAGTAATAATAATAATATGATGTGACAAGTACTGAATAATAAATAATAAATAAATAAATAAATACTGTAAATACATATTGTATGTACAAATGCGATGATTCGATTGGATCGCGTCCGAAACTCCGCCCTGAATCTCTCTCTTAATTGAAGAGATCGAGAGGGCGCAAAAATTTAAATCGATCTATTTACGCGCGCCTCGCCTCAGTCTTTGGTATTTCCATATATATATATAAATAATCTACTAGTAGTCGTTACTCTTTCGACTTAAATATACGTAAAATAAATATATCTCACTAATACTTCGAGTTTAGCCTTCTCCCAATTTAACCCTTCAAGGGTCGGGAGGATGGTGTGACGAGACTCCGTTTCTGATGCGGCCCTTGCAGGGCACCGTAAGAAACAAAACACTAATAATAATAATGATTGGAGATTTGATCGCCGCCTACTGGTACGTAAGTAGTTGCAGTAGTAGTAGTAGTATGCTATGGTGCGTTTTCTATGTACAGAGCAGAGGGGAATTCGCGTTCACACGCCGAAACGATTGAAGACGTATTGACTGTTGACGCCGTCCCCGAGGTTCTCCGAGCCAGCAGCGACGGGATTCATGACGTTGAAGAGGACTGCGAAGATGGTGCACGCGGCGTACACGCCCAGAGCCACCCACCACAGCAGTTGCTCGTGCAGCTTCTGCTCGAAGTTCTTGAGCACCAGCAGGCCGATGGTGAGGCCGGCCAAGGCGCCAGTGAGATGAGCCACGTACGAGACGGGCGGACCCATCGTCTCCGCGGCGTACCTCGAGTAGATGGCGTAGCCGACGTCGCAAGACGCTGCAATTGCAAAGAAAAACGAACAATTAGTTTAAAGTCATTTAGGTTGAAGTCTTCGCATTATTACCTATGGCGAAGATGCCGAAGAGCCGCAGGATACCGCACTGCATGTTATTGTAATTGAGCAGGACGTTGGCGAGATGGGCGGCGAGCAGGGCGTAAACGCCGCCCGACGCTCCGACCAAATAGACGCCGGTGTCGAAGACGGAAGTGCCCAAAGAACCGGCCACCACGCCGGCCATGTAGATGAGGGCGACGCGTCCCGATCCGTGCACCATCTCCAGCGGCAATCCAACGAGCAGTTGCACCACCAGATTGAAACCCAAATGAAGCCAACTAGAAAATGCAAACAATAAGCAACAAATTCGAAGACTCTTTCGAGTGCGAACTTACCCGGCGTGCAACAGCATGTAGAGAAGGAATCGCCAGATTTCGAGCCGCTTGTCCGGGCGGTAGATCAATACGGAATCGATTGGGACGGGTCCGGCGGGGTTCAGTTCCCCCGTGCTCACCGAGTAGTAAACAAAGAAACCCAGCTGCAAAAGAACAAAAGTATTGATTAAAAGATGAACAGAAGTAAAGAAGTAAAAACGATATCGATTTGTTTACAGTGTCTGCGGGCGTGGAGTGGAAGGTGTCAATCCTCGGACGAATTAAACTCGCGGTCTAAATTTAGAAACGCGCAAACATCACCACTCTTCTTCTGACTCTGACTTCTTACGCACAGTAAGATTACGTACGGAAATAGAAAAACCGAAAATAGGTTTTGGGGCGAATATACCCGTTTTCATCGGGAATCCGAAAACACGCACACCTTTATCTTTACTCGAAAAGGAAGGAAAGAAGGGCGGTGGGTGTGTGTGTGCGCTACTTGATGAATGGGCCCGAGCGCACGTGTCTCCCTTACTCTTCGCCAGACGAAATTTTTCGTTAAATATTCTCGTTTCGTGACTATAAATTATGGGGAGAAGCAGTAAGCAGATGCTCGATTTTCCAAAAATAGGGAATTCCCCAAACCTTTCATGGTTTCATCCGCTTTCAGGAATAAATTGCAATCTTAATTAATATGTAAATGTTGATTGCTCGGATACAAATCAATTAAATGGAGTGTTAATAATGATCAAAAACATGAAATAATTATATAAAGTGTAGAGTTTGAAAACGCGCGGCAAATAAACAGTTTAATAATTATCGATCATAGCGGAATTAACGGTCGATCCGCGACTGCCCGCAGCTCTCCATCATCATCATCATCATCGCCGTCGTCGTGGTTGGTGTTCTTGCGGATCACGCATACGTATATATATATATATCGACATATCGAACTGCCTCTGTTCGTACGTACGTACATACGTATTTACTACCAAGACACATATTTGCATGCCGCCGCGACTGCATTTATTTATTTATTTATTTACGCCGTGTGCGAATTCCGATTCGCGAAGAATGCGAACGTGCCGCAGTCAAATTGGCCTTCCCATCTAAATCTACGCTCTCTTTTTCTGTTCTGTCCTGTTTGTTTCTTAGTTAATGAGTAACCAGGATGACGGACAACGACGATGATGATGGTGAAAAAAAGAAGGAACACGTTGCAACTTGCAGGAGGAAGAGAAGAAGGTTGTTCATCGATTTTTCGGGCGGCATGCGCGCCTCGACTGCGGCGGCAGCTGCTGCTCCTTCTTCGTTCGTTCGTTCGCTCTCTTTGCCCGGCAATCGGAATGCCTGCATAAAATTAAATCTCTCGCGGTCTCTTCTCATTCTCCTACTGATTGCCAACGCCACCGTCATCGTCATCGTCGAAGAAGACGATTTTGACGATGACGATGTCCTTCTCGTTTTAAGGCAACGCTAATGGTTTTGTTGCATTACTAGTAAACATTATTTACAGTGCGCGATCAATGGGGTCGAGGTCATACCAATAGTAGTAGTAGTAGTACACTACTCTACTATTAGTATCGTTGCGAAGACTAGCGAAGACTTGTTTTTCTGATTGTGATGATTACATTATGTACATTTATATAATAGTTACCTCGACCAGAGTGACGGTGATGATGAAGAGGGGCGGCGGGCAGCAGCTGTAATGGTCTGCATAGTACTTCCGGTCCCGCTCGTCCGTTAGGAATTCGTCGGCGATGATGCGAACCATCCTGCGGGAAAGAGATCTCGTTAGAAATTTTGACAGATCAAATAATCGGATGTGTCAACGACGATGCACATACGCACGCACATGCATCGACGTCGCGCGTTGCAGGATTACTTTGTGGAAAGGCAAATCCTCAAGTTCAAAAGACTCTCCGGAAATAGAAGGCTGTAGCAGCGGCGGCGGCGTCGTGACGCTACCCGCTAATTACAAGTTTATATATAGACGGACAATAATCTTTAATTACCTGCGAAAGATTGGCGGTTCTACTAGGAGCAGATGGAAGTCGTTCTCAGAAGAAACCTCCCTGTCGCGATGGTGGACGGCGCATTTAAAGCTCCTGGACCGTTTCCCTGTCATCTGCAAATAGAAAGAGATAAAGATTATTATTATTATATAGATTATTCAATTCTCTTCCAAACAAGAAGCCGCAACGCAACGTCATCCACCACGCTCTGGTTACTCTCTCTTTCTCTCTCTTCGCCGCTTTTGCTCCTGTTGCCGTTTGAAGGAATTCCGATCAGTTTCTCACGGTTTTGCAAGCAGCAAACAAAAATCAATTCCGATTTGTTATTATTATTATTATTTTCGCTTTGAATATAATAGACTTTCTTTCGTTCCTTCCCACATCCATTGTCATGAAGACGCCACGAAATACTTGCCAAGTTGCACGCAATTATATATATAGAATTGAAACGGTTTCCATGCATTCGGACTCCTCAATCAAGCGTCAATCAATCAAATTAGCGAGCAAATTAATCGGGGTGTGTGTGTGTGTAAAGGGGTGAAGCAGAAGACCATCAATCAAGATGATGTACAAAACGTCCGACTGCGATCCGTGCGCCCCTCCGCCACCGGTTGTCATCCCACCTTGCCCGGAGGGCGAATGGACGGGAGTGCAGATCCTCGGTGTCATCGTCTTCATCGTCGTCGGCATCCTCTGCGTGAAACATCCGCCGAGCATGGACGCAGCAGAAGAGGAATAACACACATACAAAATACCCGAACAACAAATAAAAGAAAAGTCAAAAATGTTCCTGTTTTCTTCTCTCTACAATATTTTGTTTGTTTGTTCTTTTCTAACGCGTTCGGAGACAATGGAACAATGGCTCTCTTCTCACCTGGGTAAGGTAAAAAGAGAGAACGAATGAACGTGTGGCGTGCGAAAGGAGATTCCTCATCATCATCATCATCATCCTCCACCTTTTCTTCATCTTCCCATCGCATCGCGGGAATATAACAAATAATAACAATAACAACAAGCGAGTGAGAGAAGTTTAATTAACACACATTGAACCATTGTCTTCGGAATTAATTACGTTACAAAGAAACAAAAAAAAACAAAGCAACAACAAGAAGAAGAGTTGAGAGAACAAAGTGTCATTCAACGTTACGCAAGTAGGCCTTGGTTTTATAACACCACCGAATTATCGTTTAATTGCGACCATCAAGGTGGTAATCTCTGCACATCTTCATTTCTTATGGAAAAGAGATGATGATAGTCGTTGTTTTATTTTCTTTTTGGGTGTATTATTCGTCTCTTATTTTCCGTTTCTGTATATTATTCTTTTCTTCCTCCTTCGTCGTCGTCGTCCGAGATATGTCGAGTGGGCGAAATGTGGGATGGCATGGCCCACGCAGGGCCGCCGTTTCCCACGGACTCTCCTCAACTTCTCTCTTCGCGGTGGTAGTGCAGTGTTGTACCTCATTCCACACCCCACCAACCCCCCGTCCACGTACATGTCTATGTTGTGTTTGACTAACAAACGAATGAATGAACGACGAACAAACGAAACTCGCAAAGAGACAACAGACTGCCGGTATTTGCAAAAAAACAAAAGAAATAAAGATATAATAATATTCCAATAGGAATGAATAATCCATTTCGTTTTCGAAATCGATAGCGGAAATGGCACGAAGATCAATATTGAATGAAGAACTCCTCCTTCCTTTCTTCCTTATCTTGGTAAAACAAAGGACGTCTACGAAATGGGATTGTCACCGAGAGAAGAAGAAGACAAACGAAACAGATACAATTGGAATTGCGCAAGAGGGGAATCCCTTCGTCGTCAGCTATATAGAAGAAGCAGGCTAAAACCTGCACGACTCGCGAAAGAAAGGAGATCGAATGTGTGTGAGTGTATATGTACGTACACACATATATAGAGTGAGTGTGTGAGAGAGAGAGAGCAGGCAGACGTCTAGCGGCGAGTCTGGCCGAGAGGGATTGTGCAACGACGTTAATAAATCGAATGATTCATTGATTCACACGCTCATCCAAAATTAGTACACTGCGAACGTGTGCGAGTGAGTGATCATCATCACGCATAAAAAGATTGAAACTTACGCATTGTGGAAACGGATCGAATCTGCGGCCAAGGTGATAACGCTGTAGTATGCAGAGTAGTAATCCAAAGAACGAATCGGAAAAAAAATTCTTCACACTTTACTTCACTACTATTATTATTTTTTCTCTCTCTTTGTTAACATCAATCGAACGCACGACTAGTGATTGATATTTGTATAAAAAAGAAAGAAAAAGAAAGAGCACCGATGATAACACAAAAAAAATTAATAATAAACACCGTGTTTTATATCTTTGCAAAAAAAAATATAAGATATATATGAAAAGTTTCGCTCGGTTCGGGTTTGCGTTGATGATGATGTCGATGTTCGCTCACCGAACGTCGATCGGCGACTGAAACCCCCCGTCGCACGCGGGGACGCTTATACGAGTGCCCTCACTCTCTCTCTCTCTCTCATACACTACCTCGCCCCCCTTCGTCTATAGTTCAAACCAACCCCCGGCCCACACGTCCCACGTGACCCGAGCATTGGACCAATCCGAATCGTCGCGGAGATCTGTGGGCGGCACCCATCCCCCCAATAAGATGACAACTGAGCAGCAGACAGAGAGAGCGAGAAAATCGTGCAAATTGTCATTCGCATTTAATCGATTCGATTTATATTAATTATGTAAACTTTACCCTAAAACTAAAGTATCCTTTAACATTAACGTCTCATCAAAGAAGGCGCAAATTGCAACAACAATAAGAATCAACACTTTATGAAACATTTGCAAACTATTTACATAGCACTGAAATTAAACCGCGTTTCGTCTGTTCATTTCAATTCAAACCGTTTTCAAACATAAACAAATGCTATATAAAAAAAAACAAAAACCGAATATTCTTAGCTTCTCCAACAGAAGCGTTGCTTAGCAATAGTAAAAACAATGATTTGTTTAGATTTTTAATGTATCGCTTGATTTTTTAACATATTTCTCGCTCATTCAACAACAATTCCACGTTTTCTCTTCTACTTTTTTTTTATGTTATTAATTATTATTGTTATTATTGTTATTATTATTATGTCAGTTCCGGCATGGATGGTTGATATTGTGCATTATTATTATTACATTTTTTTTTTCCTCGTCGTACAGTTCCGCACATATTTTTAGCTTAATCAGCGTTACGCAACGTGAACACCCCACAAACGAACGTCCATCCATTTCGAAAGCGATCGACCAAGGGTGAAGAAAATTACATCGCATTTCACACACACACACACAGTTTTTATAACCAGAACACCGTAACTTCTGCCATACAAAAAAAAATAATACTGCAACAATGAAACAAGGCGAGGAAGTTTTACAAGTAAATTTCGAACGGTGAAATCCGTGGAATTTGTAAAGAAATTTGAATCACCGTCGTAACAATTACATTTGTTATAATGCTGTAATTTGTTACTTAAATTTAACACATTTTGATCAACGAAATCAATATGAATCACAACATTACATTCCTTTACAAGAAAGAAGTTGAATATACATATTTCGTGGAATTGTGAATCCTGCAAAGTGACAATTCCGCTACAGTCAATGCTGTTCGTTTACCCAAAACAACATTGTTCATAACATCGTCATGGTAACAACAACAGCAACAACAGCTATGTAGTAGTATCTATTACGACAACAACAAAAAAAACAAAATTGCGAACAATTGAGTAACGTACAAAAATGTCGGACGTTCCCAAGAGTGGATGTAATACATGCAACAACAGCTTGATATGTGTGTGCATGAAAGTCGGTTGCGAGAAAGCGGCGCGCGCGAACAACGTAAACCGGAAATGCTTGCAATAATCTCCGCGAAACAATAGAAAAATCCATACATTTTTTTTTTGTTTCGTTCGTTTTGTTTCAATAAACAAACGAATTGTATGTAGTTGCCTTCGCGGTTCAATTTTTTTAACAATGTACGTGAAAACAGGACGTAACGAACATGGAAAAAAAAACGAGCAGACAATCGCCTAATTATCTTACTAATTAGTCATTCTTCTTTACGTGGAATTCATTAAGAGTTCTTCAGTTGAAACATTAATAATATTAATATTTACGATATTTGTGGTGATATTAGAGAAGTGCATTTACTTGTGAAACGGTTGCATTTTGAATTGGGGTGGTGGTGTAAGTTGTGTCTGGGAACGAGAGTTTCGTAACCGAAATTGCTAATTATGCATCATTGTCGTTGTAGACGTAGGTTTCCAAACACGGAGAACAATGGCTTTCTAATTGCAGCGAATTAATCACATTTTATTATTTTCAAACATGCGAACTTAACTTGGCGAGCTCTCGCGGTAGAAAGACAAAAGATGCATGAATTAAAAGCGTAATTATTGTTCCGAGTTTGAAAATCTTTTTCTTTTTGGGTATTTCGAGCACGAGCTGAAACCATCATCATCATCTGAATCGCGCGTCCATCGATACAAACACGAAAGAAGCAGTGGAAACGAAAATGATGATGATGATGGGGTTGGTGGTTGCTGGATGATAAAAAAAACAACAACAGCAGCAGCAGTAGTAGAAGAAGCAGCAGCGGCGGCGGCGGCAAGCGAAGAGAAACGGGCAGAAGAGGCAACAACACCTGCTCTCCCTTTAATTTTAAAGAGAGCACAGAACCACCAGACGTAAAGACAGTCATGCAACGATGGAAGTAAGGCAAGCAGACAGACAGACCATGCAATGAAGCACGCACGCACAACAATTATTATTATCAATTTATCTTCTCTCATCTATTATTCTCCCGTTGAAGATGATGATGATGGAAAAAACGACAACACCTCGTGTTCGCTCCCATTAATAATCAGCAGATAGCTCAGTTAACTAATTATATAGCCAACGATTCAAACAATCACTTAAAGCTGAGTTAGTTTTTGAATATGGTTTGGATTGAGAATGCACGATTCGCCTTTGTCGAGGGGTGGAAGAAAGCAAGGCACACTTCGATCCCCCCTTTTATAGTCGTATCGAGTTTCAGTCGATTGTCCTTGCAACGACCATCACCGGAGGTGAATAAGAGGAT